TTAAGTTCCATCAAATTTCGATGCAATCTCTTTTACATTTTGTGCATCACCACTTCTCCACTTGGGTATGGGCATTGGAGGCTCGTGGCGAGGGTTGTGGTGAGGGTCGTGGTGGATGCCTCTCTTCACCCACCATGTACGAAGAGGACTATGGCGGCAGCCAACAATTGTACTACTTCAAGGACTATGCGCAAACTGTGCAAACTCGTCTTGAGCCAGAACTGGACCCCAGTCTACTAGCCACACTGCATGAAACCCCTTCTCAATTTCCCGGACGTGTCCAGCATATGAATTCAGCTTTGCATGAACCCTTGGGGCTTGACCGTCTCCCGTAAGCCTTCCACTTCTATTTCCATCGGGTATATCCGACTCATCGGCGATTCGGCCGATGGGCCCGCCATCATCGCAAAGGAGGCGTGGCGGGCGCCAGGGACTCAGAATGGAGGCTAGATGCCCTATGACTCCTCGACATATGTCTGAATCTCCCCAGGTACCTGCTTTCCTGGTGTAGGTGTGGTGAGGCGCCTGGCCACGTCTAGCCACGCACGTCTCTAGCCGGCTCCACGTGACTCGCCGGCATGGTTCGGCTAGCTCTCGGCTAGGCTGCTCGCATATCTCCGGGCTACCTCAGTAATATACGCGGGGGTGGAAACTCCCGTGATCGGCAGTGGACGGCAACGTTCGGCAGCGGCAACCAATGGTCGCCCGCTTGTCCTCCGGTGGAGTCCGCTGAAGTTCACTGGGGAGCAATCGTGCCTGTTGCCCCCGACCGATCTCCAGTGGAGCTCGCTGGAGTCCAATCAATGCAGACTCAATGAAATAACCACCAATATCCCTCGTGGTCCTTGTTTCGTCCACCGATTGCCAATGCACATCAATGCACACCGGCGTATTCCATTGGACCACTCGGCTACAATGGACGTTGCTGCATACCGTTCCGATTCATTACACTCCAGTGGACCCGGTAAGATTGCAGCTCCACTGGATTCCGCCATTCTCCAACATCATGCACTGGTTTACAGCGTGTTTCAATGGGCTTTGACCCGGAAACCAATTGAATTCCATCAGCTACCACTGAGCATCAGCTTTTTACAGAGACCTCACAAGCTTCTACAACCTGTAATAGTTACTGATGTTCAGAATCCCAATGAACCACCGAAAATTAACGTAGATATGCACCCCTTGTGAACCAGTTTTAGCTGCGGGTAGGCCAGCAGTGGGACCCGATGGACTCCATTGAATACCGGTAGTATATGTATGGCCACTGGAACCCAGTGGCTTACACTGGCGTGACGGGGGAAAAGGGAATATATAGTTGGTGGCGGGCCGGTGGCCATGTGGATTATAAGTTATCGAGCGGCCGCGGAACCATATGGACATGAAACAGGTACAGTAGGGCACAGTGGACTTCAGTGGAAACCAGTGGAGGACGAGAGCCGTCGAGAGGAAAGCACAGGTGCTAAGGCCGACAAGGTCCGATAGAGATCCTCGGAGATCACCAACCGGCCCGTGAGACCCATCACGGAACAATGCAGCATGATATCAGCCATCGGCCGCCAAAGGCCAACGGTGTCCACTGGTGGCCGCCAGCGGACTTTCCACCGGCGGGTATATAACTCGGCTACCTGGGGCCTGAATTCAGTGAAATTATTGTTTATCTACACATATATAAAGAAAGTCATAATTAATTAAGGTACAGAAATTATGCGCACCAAGCTTTCGGACACAGGGAGGAGAAATGGAACCAATAGAAAGATAGGTTGCATCCGACATCACGTGCACTGGCACAGGCACAATCGAATTTCGAATAGGTTACCACCTGCTGGTGCTAGGCTATCCTTTTTCTGCCACACTGCTGATAAGGTGTGGATTCATACATGCCTGAAATCTTCACTTTTGCATGGTGTTAGCGGTTGGCTGATACTAATATACCCAGTAAGACATAGAGGGTTCTAGTCTGCCCGAGACTGAGAATCAAGCTGTTGAAAGCATTACAAACTTGCACTAAACAAAGGAGACTAGGATACTATGGACGGTACCTGCACCAATGGGGTCTGATATAGTAACTTGGGTTTCAAAACCACTAGCGAGCCATAGGACTACTGCGACAGAATGTATTACCCAATGCAGCACATTCGAGTTCAATAGTAAGGAGGCAAGGAAAGCTATTACAAGGTCCTACAAAGGGATTTGTACAAGGAGGCACTGTATCGGTGTAGAAAGTTAACATTTTTACAAGGGAACAAAGTGGCAGACAAGTTAAAATGATCACGTGATCACCAAAGAGACGTGTTTGATCCTGGCGTGCTCACTGATGCTGACTGAACTACTGTTCCAGATGACCATGTAGGCTGACTATACTAGTCCACCTATCAGCTATAGGTGTTCTGCAGGTTCCACCAACAGTCAGGATAGCCAGGATTCAAGGAGAATGACTGTACCATCATGAGTTGGTTGGAGCCCACGACCATGTTAGTTGTGATGTGGACCGCGGTGCTACAATGCGAAATAGATGGTATTCACTTTGTAGCTCGTTCGGCCACTAGGGGGTTAATATGAGATGGACTCCAGTGGCGTAGGTGGCTGTTGCACAGACATGATGTGTTCCGTGTGTGTGTGTGTGTGTGTGTGTGTGTGTGTGTGTGTGTGTGTGTGTGTGTGTGTGTGTGTGTATACCTTGGCGATGAGTGATGCGTCTAGGTGGGGTGTACCGCGGCGAGGGGCACAAGGAGGGAAGAGAGCAAGCCTCAGACAGGAGGCTGCAGCGTGGAACGTTAGATGTGGTGGTGGTGGTGGTGGTAAACCGAGTGTATTGGTGGGGGAGATACATGGGTCGACTTGGTGTGAAGGCTGTATATGCTCTGCATATGCCCTCGCATAGCACCGCTGGCACAACGGGGATGAAGAAGCACAGCACGGCTATATCACCAAATCGGGACACACCTGGAAACCACATTCGGACTTCTCACAAACATGCTCCTTGACCTAGGGCATCGACTGGGACACAAACTAAGACCAATAATCCACTACAGACACCATTGATTCGAGCTCCACCGAGCCTTTCGCCCTGACTCCTGGTCCAAATCACATGATTTCCTCTCCACTCCCTGACCTGGCCAAAATCCTTCGATGTCCAGTAAATGCCCCAGCATCAGTAGCCTACACCCAGAAGCCTCCTGGTCCCCAGAAATCACTCGATTCTCACCAAACAATAAGCAACTCTGAGGACCATGCCTGTAAAATCGCTTGATTTCCTAGCATTGGACACCTGTTTTGGACTGCGGGCATCGTTGCCCATCTGTTGCCCTCCCTACGGACCCCAGGCGCGAGGCTGCCGATGCACCTGCCGTGGTAGATGACGACGGAGATCTGCGGGTGCGTTAGAATACGGAATAAATGTAAGGAGAGGAGGAGGGATGAGGGATAAGGGATAATGAAGGAAGGAATAATGTGGAACAGCGTAGGAGGGAAAAGGAAAGTATGTGCCACCGCGGAGTGGGGGTACCGAAGAATGAAAGACGGGGCGCGCGTGGGACGACTCGGAGAACAGTGTGGTGCTCACGCTCAACGCCGCAGCCGCGCCCCCCAGTGCACACTGTGGCACTGACAATGGCACGGCATGTTTTAGACGCGGCACGTCCTGTCCTCGCTGCTGACTGAAAACAGATGAAAGCCGAGCACGGACACCTGCGGCACGAGCAGCGGGGGCTGGCTCGCAATAGACCGTGCAGGAGGGAACACCTGCAGTGGTCTCACCTGCTTGCGCTACGCCCGCACCCACATGCGCTCTACCCTTGCCCCCTGTCCACATCCCACCAAAAGGAAAAAAAGAAAACAAAGAAAAGGAAACGTCACGCACCCCGGGCGCGAACTTGGTGTACTCGTCCACCCAGTTGTGCAGCACGCTGAGCGGGAAGACAATGAGGAACGGGCACGAGAAGCGCAGCGCGTGCAAGTGCGCAGAGAAGGTGATCGTTTGGAGCGTCTGCGGGCGCGCGCGTCAGTATCGTCTATGCGTATTCTAGGGCGCAGCACACCTTGCCCAGCCCCATCTCGTCCGCTGCAACGAGCCAAGTTAGAAAGGAAACGGCAGGAAGCAAGGGAGACAGAACCGCACCCAAAATTCCGGAAATCCCATTCTCGTGCAGCGACACCATCCACTGCAGCCCCTCGAGCTGGTAGTCCTTCAGCCGTGCACCTGTCACCAGCGCCGGCTGCGGAAACGCGCCCTCTGCATCCTCCTCTACTCTCATCTCTCCTCTGGCCTTGTCCTCCACCTCATCCTCGACGACGACGTGCCCATGCGCGCCCTTGCGCCTTTTCGCCGGCCTCCCCTTCTTTGCCTTCGCGTTTGCTTGGGCCTGCGCCTCGACGCGGTGTGTGCGCAGCAGCTCGACGTGCCGCACCTTTGCGCCTGCCATCTGCGCGCTCAGCAGCGCGCTGTACATCACACTCTTCTCCAGCACACGCTCGAGCTGCTTGTACTGCGCTGCGTCCTCCTCATCCTCGTCCTCTTCTGCCTCCTCTTCATTCTCCTGCACCTCCTCGTCAGCCTTGAATTCGTCGGCGTGCGATGTGGGTGCGGCGAGTGGCATGCCCATCAGGAACGGGCTCTCCTCCTGGAAAACCAAACACATCAGCTTGAATACCACTCTCTCCACGCGCGATGTACCTTGTCCTCCTCCGCCTTCATGTGCTCCCCCGAGTCCGACTCTGGGGCGGGCGACGATGGCGCCGTGCTCGCAGGCACGCTCGACCACATGTGCGACGGTGTGCTTGGCGCGGGCGATGACAGCAACGATGCGGAGAACGGCGTGGGCGACACGGGCGCGGGGCAGGGGCGGTGCATAGCCATGGTGGCAAGACGAAAGCGAAAATTGATTTGATTGGTAATGGACGCGCTGTGTTCGACGTGGCGTGGTGTGACGCGTGTGACTTTTTGATCGGTGTTTCAAGTTGTCGACCTCAACTTCATTGATGAAGTTGTAGATGCGTCTACCGGCTCGGTGGCACAGTGGTGCAGTGCATCCGCCAGATGTGGACAGTTTTCCTGGAGATACAATATCTGCGGAAGGTGCCCGTTCGACTCGGGCCCGGGCCATGCGATGGTGGCAAATTTATTTTCTTGCTCCATTGCTTTTTGCGTTCGGAGAGAATTAGGGGTAGGGAGGATAGAGAATGGCTCGGTAGTGGATGGTCCACGCCTGCAAAATATACGGACATAGTGAAATATTTAGGCAGCAGCTGCCCGTTCGACTTGGGCATGAGCCATGATGCCTCTGAGGAGTTTTTTCTGTGCAGCACCCCCTTATTTTTGTGATTAATTGAGATGGAGGAGGGTAGAGAACGGCTCCGTCGTGGACGGTCCACACCTACAAAGCATCACTCACCTTCCAGGATATATCATGCAGGAGTCACCCGTTTGACTCGGGCCCAAGCCATACCCCTGCAGCCACACATTTTTCTTCAACTCTGGCGTGAGCCCTACTTTATTGTCATTAATTCAGGGAGATAGCAGGCTATACAAGACTCGGTAGTGGATGGTGCACACTTGCACAAAATAGCTTTTACCTCAGGGATTATGCAGGCACCTCCCATCGACTCAGGCCCGGGCCATAGCATACATGTATTTCGGGAGCAAATCTTTTGCCTGCGCCCCTGGTTGGGCATTCCAAGGAAATACGAGATAGGGAGGCTCAGCGGTGGACGGTCCACACCTGCAAGATATGTAGTCGAACTTTTACAATATGCAGGAGCCGCCTGTTCGACGTGGGCCTGAGCCATGTTTCCCTAGTACTGCTTTTTTGTGCGCGGGGCTCCCGCTTTTGTTCGAATTAATCGAGGAAAATGAAGGGAAGGGAATGGGCTCGGTGGTGGACGGTCCACGCCTCAATGTATCACCTTCTTCAAGAAATTTTTATGCAGGAGCTGCCCGTTCGCCTCGGGCCCGAGCCATTCATAGTCGGTTGCAGAGACCTTTGATCCAACGGTGCCGTCGCTTTCGTCCGAACTAATTCAGCAACGGAGGAGGGATGGAAAGGCTTGGTGGTGAATGGTCCACGCATATTGTTGAGCGCTTTTGCTATGCCCCTTTGACTCGGGCTCGAGCCATGCGGTATTTCAGCACCACTTTTGGCGGGGAGGATGGTTTTTTCCTTCCAACTACATCTGGATGATCAAAGGTTATACAATGCTCGGTGGTGGACGGTCCACGCCTGCAATGCACGATCCAACTTTCTCATCATGCAGGAGCCGCCCGTTCGACTCGGGCCTGAGCCCTGATCCCGCTACTTGTATTTATCACGTTCTTTTTCTGTGAAGTACCCTATTTTATTGTGATTAATTCAGGGACAGAAGGAGTGGATTAAGGCTCGGTGGTGGATTTTCCACGCCTGCAAGATATATGGGATCGTCCTTGAATATGCAGGAGCCGCCTGTTCGACTCGGGCCTGAGCCATCATCTGCTATGACAATTGTTTTCATTTTTCTAGTGTGAGGCGGGATTCGGCGCTGATTAGTTGAATATAGCAAGTAGAGTAAAGTCTGATGAGAGATCAGCAGCGCTGGATGCTATCCTTCCGCCGACGGCCTGGATCTCCAGGGCGAACATATCCTGCATGTTATCTATAAGTGCAGAGGCCTATCTTTCCCAGAGTAAAAAGGACGTATGCATGCTACAAATACAATAGCATCTACACGGCGGCCAATGGTTGGAGCCATTTTTCTGTGCTTATCGGCCCCGCGATGGTGGGGACTGAGGTGAGCAAGCCAAACAACATCCTTGCCCTCAATGGGCGCACCTCTCAGCGGGGTATAACAATCGGACCCCTTTTAAACGAAATCCTGGATCTGGGTTATCCAGATGTCTGCTCCAGCGAGGGTACCAGCAGGGGGTACATGATTGCACGGTCTCCTGGTTGCAGCACAATTGCAGGACCAATGAACCGGGCCACTGTCATGACTTCCCAGAATTCATGGAAAGCACCTAAAAATGGCACGACTTCCTCGATGGTGGGGAAGACACAGGGATTGCTGGCTTTGAGTAAGGGTGAGGGCAGCGAACCGTTTCGTGTTCGAGTAAGACCTGGTTTTTTCGCAACAGTGAATGCGAGAACCGGTTTGGATCTCCTCGATTCTCAGAAGCGAATCCAAGTCCCAATCTAGATGGTGTTTTTGGACATGGTGGGGAGCAGTCGTTTGAGTCCGAACGCCGTGTGAGCGGCGCTCTCAGGGGTGATCTCACGCAGAGGAAAAGTGGGCGCCAGCTTGAGCATCATTTCGCAGACAGTGTGTTCTATTGCATGTCGCAGTTCTGGGTTGTGTGCCAAGTCCTGTGGGGTGTCTGATAATGGCACAAGGTGCTGCTCTTGCACCTCCATGTCCTGCAAGTAGCTGACGGCCTGCTGGTCGTAATGCTCGGCCAACTGCTTGCTGTCAATAATGTTGCACCACTGTATCTGGCACTTGAGCAGTTGCACCGACTGGGAAAATAGCGCGTTGTTGATGAAATCTGAGTGTTGGGGTTGTGAGCTGACTGGTCGTGAGTTAGTTGTGAAAAGACTACTGACCGAAGTCCTGCTGTGTCTGTACAATGGCATCGTCCTCTTCCTCATCGTCTTTGTCCGAATCCGTGGCCTGGGGGAACGGGGAGAAGGGAGTGGGGGTGCGGAATGAATAGGGAATGGGGCCACAGGAGTCTGGGAGGAACAAGAGGGTGCGTTTGTGGGGGCTGGCCTGGGGAAACACCATGAAGTCACCCGAGAAGGGAGCCGGGGTGCGGTATGTGTACGGAGTAGGGCTGCGGGAGCCTGGTAGGAACAGCGAGGTATGGTCCCACTGGCAAATATAATGAGAACAGAGTGGGCTGCTAAGCAATGGAAGCAACTTACCACTTGTTCAAAGGTGGAAGGGCCCGCAAAAACGATGGGGTGCCTGTCGGCGACTGGGGCGTATGAGCAGCGCAGAGATGGGCAGCAAGGCTTCACAGCGCAGTATGGCCTGGGGGACACGATATGGCACATCCAAGTGCAGCCTCTCCTCATGCCCTGCCAGAATAGCGAGCATGGCAGAGGACTCCACATCAGCGCACCATATTTGGGCCTCTGTCATTGCCGTCGTCCTTGGGATCATCTTCCTGCATGCGTTTGTCATCGACATTGGCGCGGTCGTCGATGTAGGGGTTCCGGGGTGCATGGACAGCAACATGTCAGCGTTGTTCATGGTGCGCTGCCAGCATTATGTCTCGGGTCTGTCTCTATTCTACTTTTTCTTTGTTTTTCTCAAGATGTTTGACCGTGATGTCGGGTATTGCAGCGCCCAAATGTGTTGCATTCATAATTATTATGACTATCTACGTGTCTACTAACTAGGGGAGGCGATGACAGCGGGCTCACCCAGACATAATGGAAATTTGCAACAAGAAGCAAAAGGTGGCTGTGCATGATGTGAGGTCTGTTTGTGGTGAGGACACTCGGCATGGGCTCGGCAGGTGATGGGGCTCGGCCAACGATGCCGAGTGCCATCACTACAAACAACGCTCGCATCATGCACAGCCACCTTTCCGCTCTTGGTCTTGACCATCATGGTCAGGATCTAACTCGGGTGTAGGTAGTAGGGAGGGCGTCGGGAGGAAGGGCGCTGGAGTGTACCAATAAATAAAGCCTGTAGAGTAGTGAGAGACCACAAAATTTGTGAGAAGTGAAGAATACGGACAGGGAACGGTCGAATAAAGGAAGGCAGGCACATAGTATTGTAGAAGTACTGATAAATGTAGTGAGTGAGGTAGAATGGAAGATAGGTCAAGGATACACGTAGAGGAAGGTCATGGGCACAGGTCAAAGCAGGGCGAGCCTGGGTGCGGGCCAAAGCAGGGTGGGCGTGGGCATGGGCGTGGGCGGAGGTCAGAGGTCTGCACAGTAGACAGTCAGAAGGGGTTGGCGGGTACAAACCATGCAACTCACAAGGAAAGGTGAAGAGAAAGGGAGTCCTGTAAAGGGCGGGTGAGTGGTGCACATGGATAATGTGAAACGGCATGAACACAACTGACAACTAGAGCTCTGGATGCATGCCCTAGAATATGACTACAATGCTTGAGGCCGAAACCAGTGGGAAGGTCGACGCTAGTGGACCCAGGCAGTGGGGGGAAAGAGAGAGAAGAAAGATGGCCTTGAGCCGACGACAATATGACACAGGAGAACTAAACACATACTGAGTGCATCCAGAAACAAAATGAATAGAAAGTACGGTGAAGCCCTGGAGCGCTATCGCAGGGCGCGGTGCTAGCAGCGGCACGATGTCCAAAGGAAAGGGTTAAAGCGAACTCTTTCGCTAGACAGAAAGGGATCATGACCTTGGCGAGCGCCACCTATCCACAGATTCCACACGAAATGATGGCTCGAATGGGTCGTTCCTACGCCAAAACAGCCGCAGCACAAGGCGTCGTCGAAGGTCCAGCAGTTACCCTCGGAACCAGCAAAGCACAGCCGAGAATCCATAGTGTATCCCCAGAGCCGAAACCGCGAAGACAAGAGCACAATAGACCCAGAGAAAACAGTCGCCGCCCGGGGATGGTGGCGGTACGAAAGCAAGAGAGCGCCGTTACCACGCTCTGTGGGTACAAACTCAGTAGATGATCGAAAACAAATCTCCGCCGGCAGCTAAACAGGAGTGAGCCTATTGTTTCGGCGATCTCCGTGGGTACTGTTGCTGGAAATCGAGTTGGCGATGTTGAGGCGACAATGCTGTTCCTCAGAGTTCGGGCGCAGAATAACAGGAGACTCAAAGCCGAGGTCGCAGAATTCAGAAAACTATTTCATTGATGTGACTGAAGAACACAAACGAGACCCAGAGACGAAGATACTGTACATCCTGAAATGCAACGGGAATCTAGTTGTTGGGCAACATGAAGGGGAATGAAATAAAGGGGAACTTAAGCAGAGTTATGGACGTACTCGTAAGCATGGCACTTCACAGGGTGGAGTGGTGAGACACTTAAGAAGGCGGGAGTTGCAGAGCAGTATTTGGGCGCAGGCAGGAACAATGGCTCAACCAGTTTCCGGTGAAAACACTACGAGAGAGGATAGCCATTGCGCGAAGCCGAAC